GAGGAGGAGGTCAGGGGTCGTACAGGAAACAGGAAGAGGGGTAAATAGGGCTTTTATCCACTGTAAACATTTAAATATATGTTGTGTTTTAATCAAACACACAATCAGGATATTTTCAGACTTTATCATAAAAGCTTCACATTAAATGATTGTTGAACATTTATCAGAAATAATTGAACCATTTCCTGCTCAGTAAATCAGCCTAAAAGAGTTCAGTTTAAGGAGACCTGGTCACAAATAATCAGAGCTATAAATACTCACCAACAACCTGCTGAGGCCGTTGTTAGCACAAACACACWAACACACAAACACACAAACACACACCCTGTGCTGTGGCGCTTCAACAGCTCACTATGTTTTAGATCAAAAATCAAACATTTATCCTAAAATGATCCGAACCGTTGGACAAAGTTTCGTGCTGTAAAAACATCGGTATAAACCGGACAGACCGGAGGTCATGTGATGAATCAGCTGACCTATGAGCAGCTAGCATGTCGCTTTTAGCTCCGTAGATCTACAAACACTCTGCGAAGCAGGAAGCTGCTGAACTGCTTTACCTTATCCAGCTGTTATTGATCGAAACCAGTTTCTTCTTCTTCACTAAAACCAGCCTCTAATTTTACACTTCATGCGTTCAAAGCCCAAAATCAATAAATATTAAGAGGATATAAATGTTACAAGAGCTTCCAATATGAAAACTTTGGTCAAAGCTCGTAAGATAGCTAAACAAAACCAACTTCCGGTGAAAGAAACGAAACAAAAATACACAACAAGAAACAAATAGATAAATGTCCTCCTATATTTTAACAACCTTTGAAAAAATAATCTGTTAATTTAACTTCCTTTAAATAATTTGTAAAAACATTTTATTTTCGTTGTTTGACTGAAGTAATTCCACTGGATGGCGTCACATGAAACCTGCTGCAGACCGAGTTCAGCTGAACCTGTTCGTAGTTTTTATTACTGATACAAAATACAAGAGAACTGCAGAAATAAAGCAAAGAAGAGCAGGAACAAACCCAAATGGTACACAGAGCAGACAGAAACAACCATTAATACAACAACAGAACAATATGTTTGTTCACACAAAGGTAAAGTTGATGAAAACTCAATGATGGTGAAGAAAGAAAACTTTATAGCATTTATATGTCATAMTGTGAATGTTACAGTACAAAAAGAAAAGTGATAAAATGAAGACAATAGTAACTGCAGCAGGAAAATTCCTTGATATGAAAGAGATCGAAMCAGATCAGATTCATAGCCTCTGACGTTCAGCAGACTCAACAGAAAATGGACAAGAAAAGGACTGAAACACTAATTATGGTCCTTCATATTCTACAATGGAATGATAGAAGTTTAATAACTAATGGTCAAGAATTCAAAAGATACATACAGAGGGTAAAATAAGTATTGAACACGTCACCATTTTTCTCAGTAAATATATTACTAG